CCCAGTTCTACAAAAAAAAAAAAAAAAAAAAAAAAAAAAAACTCCAAAAAAGGAAAAAAACTAAAGGAAAAAACCCCATGATAGCAGATGCTACGTGGGGACAGGGACATGGCAGGACATTTTCTGACTGCCAGAGGGCATGGGTGCTCCCGAGAGGAGGCAGAAAGGGAGGGGGCGTGCACCGTCCCTGACACGGCCACACTGCAACCCCTCCTCCCTCTCTCTCTCTCGTCAGGGTCTGGGGCACACGCGCCAGGCTGCAGGGTTCTAGCCGTGTGGGACCTGGCTCCCCCAACTATCAGGCCACAGGGCCAGCATATCACAGGACTCTGTGGTACCAAAGTTCAGGCAACATCAGCAACTCCCAGAAGACAGCTGCCAAGTTCTAGAACGCAACCCGCCCTCAGATCAGGGGCTGGGGGTGGGCTCTGAGCCAAAGGCGCCTGGCACACCCCACCCCCGGGCTGCGGAGGGCCTGCAGACAGATGAAAGCACATGTAATGAGCGCACTCGGCCTGGCTCACTCTGAAACCCTTTGTGGTGGCCTGAAAGAGACAGCAATCGACGCAAAGCCATCTCCGGCCTGAGGACACAGGGGCCTTTGAAATGATGAGACGTTAAAATAAAGCTTTGGCTGAAAAGCCCGTCTGTCCTGGCTGCAGATCTGATGTGAGATCAAAACCGAATTACTCTGTGAACCGAGAGCTGGCTCGAGTCAGGGTGCAGACCCGCATGCAGACAGGAGGCAGCTGGTGACCGTCACCTCCCCTGCAGCCCCCCCCCACCCCAAACTTCTGTCTCCTGCCCAGGGCCACAAGGAGCACTAGGCTCTGGCTACAGCGCCAGTCACGGCCGCAGACTGTCCTTGCTCACGGTTTCTGCTGCCAGGGCGGCCGGGCCGGGGCGGGCTCAGAAGCACTCCCGCCTCCAGGGAAGGCCGCATCACCAGGAGGGGCGGCCTGCTTTCCAGAGCACCACAGCCCACAGGGCGAACATGAGCTCACAGATGCAGCCCACGTCGGGCAGGTCAGAGCCGAGGGCCCGCACCCAGCCACACGGAGTCCCATCACTCCCCCAGCAGGAGGTCCGAGGGACCCAGCCCCAGGCGGCCAGATCTGTGTCGCCCGCCACTCGCTCAGCAGACCCTGCCATGACTGGCCAGCTGCGGGACCAATGCTGGACTCGTCCTCCCGTGCACCCAGCACAGCCAAGGGCCAGGCCTAGCGTCTGGGCCGGTGCTGCGTGTGCTGAAGCGTGGAGCCTCACGTCCCCGGATGCCCACATCTGCAGAGCGCAGCGTGGCAGTCTGGGAACCGTTGTCTCCAGGCTGCTGACCGAGCTGTGCTCAGGGCCACTGCCAGTCCCCGTCCCTCACAAAGACAGCATCGCAGGGAGCTGGCTCGGCCTCGGTGTGTGGGAGGGCTGTCGGGCTGCTCCCTGTTGAAACTGCGTCTTCTCTGGAGGGACGTAGCATGGAGAAGCTGGGTGTGCACCAGGCCTGGCCATGCTGCTGCCGGGTGCACGAACTCCCAGGGCGTCTCTACCACCACCAGCGTGTGCCCCCAATCCAGGGCCTCAGCAAACCTGCCGCAGCGCTGGGGTGCATGGGAGCGGGGAGCAGCCCAGGGTCCTGGGCACGCAGCATCCACTGAGGTGGGCCTGGGCCAAGGGCGCCTCGGGGGACCCCCGAGTGGTGGTGGATGTGGAGCAGCCGATCTGAGAACATGTGGCCTGCAGACACATGCAGAAACGCGTAAGCTGCTCTAGCAGGGCTGTGAGAAGCATCTACCTACGAAAGCAGTACCTGCCTGCTGTCGATGGCTGTCTTCCGGTTGTTGACCCCCCAATACCTCATACTGCCCAGTGTCGGGCTAAAGGAAGTCACGTGCGTTCATCAAATTGTCCCCAAGGTCAGAAATGACATGGGCCAGTCATTCTCGCATCTTCAGATGACTTACACCCAGAACGCCCGGCTCTGCTCCTGCTTCCCCTCCTTTATTCTCTTCGCATCCCACTTCCTCCTCCCCACTCCTCCTGCATCCCATTTCCCCTCCCCCATCCCCTGCCCCGTGAGAGAATACCCTGCAGCTGGTTCTGGGCGCACCTTCCCCCTCAGAGCAGCTGCGCCCACCGGCCCTGGCTTTCCTATGCTCTGTGTTTGTCACTGCCTCTGTTTCTGACCCACAGCCTTCCCCACTCAGAGACGTGTTCACGCCGAGCTGGTCCCGGCAGGTGGACACAGACGCACCCAGTTTCCAGCATCTCTCCCATGTTCGGGGTCACCGAAGCGTCACAATCAGGGTCCAGGCCATGCCCTTCGCCACCCCCTGCGCTGGAGCGAGGGTGGGGGTGGGGCGGCGCGCTGGGTTACCACTGGAGCGGCTGGCAGCCCTGTTCCCGCTCGGCC